TATCATCCTAATTAGGTGATCACATTGCATTGTACTATGTATTTTCATCTTATTTTCATCTTCAGTCCATCCTTTGTCCTTTAAATCTTTTGAGATAATATCTGGTTTCCACTGAGGCAGAGACTATTGAGTGACCAAACCATCCATTTCTTGATTCAAACTAGTATAAAGATTCTGAAATTTATTTTATAAGCCTTTCAAATCATACTTGTTAGATCATGGACCATATTCAATTTATAGAATTTTAAATCATAGGTTATACAAATCCAATTTTGGCCACTCAGTGGTCTCCATCTAGTAGAACGGTTGTAAGTAATGGCCTCTTCTAACAAGCTTGTTTCCAATTAGCTTCAAGTTCCCATATCAAGCATTTTTTCCATTCTAGTCCTTCATGATATGTCCCTTTACCATGTCTGTATGGTATACGGTATACTTTGATTTTGAAGTCTTTCCATGTCATGACATACATGTAGTACTAGTGCGTGTGTTTACGGTGACATTCATCCCTACTGTGTTTTTTTCTGTGATCAGAGCCCACTGTGGGACAGACAGTGTCAGGTACTCCATTATACCATGTACATGTCAACTCCCTGTCTGTTGTAGCTTCCATTCCCCAGGGAACTGTCAGGTGTCATCTTCTGTTCCTTTGTTAGTTAAACTGTCTCTTACTAGTCTTAGCATTATGTATTCNTAATTAGGTGATCTCATTGCATTGTACTATGTATTTCATCTTATTTTCATCTTCAGTCCATCCTTTGTCCTTTAAATCTTTTGAGATAATATCTGGTTTCCACTGAGGCAGAGACTATTGAGTGACCAAACCATCCATTTCTTGATTCAAACTAGTATAAAGATTCTGAAATTTATTTTATAAGCCTTTCAAATCATACTTGTTAGATCATGGACCATATTCAATTTATAGAATTTTAAATCATAGGTTATACAAATCCAATTTTGGCCACTCAGTGGTCTCCATCTAGTAGAACGGTTGTAAGTAATGGCCTCTTCTAACAAGCTTGTTTCCAATTAGCTTCAAGTTCCCATATCAAGCATTTTTTCCATTCTAGTCCTTCATGATATGTCCCTTTACCATGTCTGTATGGTATACGGTATACTTTGATTTTGAAGTCTTTCCATGTCATGACATACATGTAGTACTAGTGCGTGTGTTTACGGTGACATTCATCCCTACTGTGTTTTTTCTGTGATCAGAGCCCACTGTGGGACAGACAGTGTCAGGTACTCCATTATACCATGTACATGTCAACTCCCTGTCTGTTGTATTTTCCATTCCCCAGGGAACTGTCAGGTGTCATCTTCTGTTCCTTTGTTCGTTAAACTGTCTCTTACTAGTCTTAGCATTATGTATTCACATACACTCTGTGTGTGGCTATATTTTTGTGCCTTGTCTCACCTATGTGTAAAACACCACCTTGACAATCAGTCCCCGTGCTCATTAATTATATTAACAACAGTTATATAATCACCACTATGTTGAAAATAATGGGTTTTTTAAGTCAAAGTGACATTGATCTCATATTACTATTATTACAGTAACACTGAATCAGATCTGCATTGCTAATATTTTACAATGCAGTCTTACCAGACTTGAGGTTAAGGTAATACTGTTAGCAACCATGTAGATCCTAAAACATAATTTACCAGTGAGTGTAAGTAAGTAAACCATAGATTAACTATTGATATTTTAGACATACCGGGTACAGGGGATTTCGCATGTATAATTATACATTTGTAATATGCATGTGTGGCTGTACAATCATCAGATTCTGTACTTTACTGGCCTGGTGCTTTCTTCATGCATCATGACTTATCTTCTCGAAAGGGATTAAGGTCTTCACTTGCAATAAAAAGTACAAAGATTATTTTTATTCTTAATCGTAGGTGTTAGCTTTAATTTGTCCAGGATTCCTGAGGATTAGTGGGGAAATAAATAATAAATGTAGCAGTCGATGGGAGGATCTTTCAGTGATTATTGTTCTCCACTTTAATGTACAGAAACTGAAACAGTTGATTTTGCGACCATGTCTTTCACATTCTACACAGTACACACCCAGACATACATGCACATGTTGACGGTATGATTATGATTATTAATGATAATTGTCTGCTGTATCCCTGGTGCCCTTGTATCCAGGTTGTATTGCATTTTTAGGGACAACATTCCCCCATCACACTGCAAATCTTTATGTTATCAAGACGTACTGGTTATTACTGACTGTAGGAATAACATCTGATTCATTAATTTTTTATTTGTTTATATTCCAGATTTACAATACTGTAGCAATGAACAATTATAATTCAGTAACTTTAGGTAGATCTGCTTTAATGGTATTATATCAAGTTAAGGTGATGCATCCTTTTAACTCTTAAGTTTTATATCAATGGTGCAAACTACAATTTGTAAATGTGTGCTAGTTTAACATTTTCACTCTCTTATATGTAGTGGGCAGGTGCTGACTGCCATATTGGTAGCCTTCAATAATTCATTGCACTGTACCCTAAAAACACACAGCATTTTTTTTTATTACCTTCGCCAAGAATTGGAGAAGGTTATGTTTTCGTGTCCGTGTGTCTGTCTGTGTGTCTGTGTGTCTGTGTGTCAACAGCATAACTCGAGAAAGCTTAGATGGATTATCTTGATATTTGGTAGGTGGGTAGGTCTTGATGAGAGCTCGAACTGATTAGATTTTGGGCCCCCTGGCGGCTTGTCATGGTACTGCAGCTGAACTTCCGGTTTTGATATCTCATGATCCAGACATGCTAGGGTGACGAAATTTTGATGGCAGGTAGGTCTTGTGCTGGGGAAGAAGTGACGTGAGTTTGGGCCCCCTAGTTGCTTGCTTTAGAACTGCAGGGGGGTTTAAAGGACAAATGTTTAAAGGAGGATAACTCAAGAACCGATTGATGGATCATGATTTTTGGTATGTAGGTAGCTTGAGTAATGCTTGACATAATGATATTACAATTATGCAAATATGGATGTAATTTGCATAATTAATGAGGAAATTCTATTAATCAACTGCGTTCCATGATAGGAAGTTCAAGCTTGCGACATATGTTATTAACAACGAGAGAAACACAGGCAGATATCGATTATGCAAATGAAGACTTAATTTGCATAATTAATGAGAAAATGTTATAATTGCATAGTGGTAACTGTCTGGAATTTTATACTTGGGGTGTTTGAAGTTTAGTGAAGGTTGACATAATTTAACATAACTTATTCAAATAAGGACCTCATTTGCATAATATATGAGGAAATGCTATAATGGCATTCTTTGTTAAAATAAGACTGTTGGTGGAGATTATGATCAACAGATATCATTCATGCAATTGCGGATCCTATTTGCATAATCAGGGGGATTAATACATTGTATATAAGTTCTTATTCATAAAAGCTAACATCATTTGGTGAAGGTATGAGATCGTGGAACTCTAGTTTTCTATATTGCTCTGGTAATGTTACATTGTACTCTTTTCATTGAGCTTTAGACACTTAAAAAAGGTTATTTGAAGAGGTCAGAAGATCTCTAGGTGTCCACAAACACAAGCTATGATTCACTGAAATACAAGTACATGTGTAGCTGTATCTGCCTCCATTTTGGTGTCACTTTGATGTCACATGAAAATGCCCTTAGGCTATTGTCATACCCCTGTACAAGCTCTATTGATACACAAACATGAAGTATGTAAATTAGACTTTGTTGATATGTACACTAACAACCAACCAACATGCAACTGATTTTTCTTACTATATATACTGCAAGTACATGTGTAAGTATTTTTCACAACAAATTTACAATTTTTATAATTTTTTCTGGATGTTTGTTGTGTTATCAGATAGCGGAAGCCTTACAGCGGGTGCAGCAGGCGCTACAGCTGAGGCCGGACCACCTGCCGTCCCTGCACCTGCTGGCACTGCTGCTGTCTGCGGGGAAACAGCACGCCGAGGCCAGGCAGCTGGTCGACGCAGCGCTGTCAGAGTACCCAGAGAACAGCAGGTAGGGGGCGCTGCTGTCAGCAAGTCTAGCTTTGATAACACTGGTAGACTGATTAGACTGTCCAAGGAATAGTGAATTATTAGTGAATGTTGAAAAATATGATTGCGCAAATCAGTGTGAAAGCTACACATTTGGCACACATGTAGTTTTATGTATTTTTAGCATTAATCTAGATATAAACGCTACCTGGAGGCAATGTCATATTTTGCCAATTTTTAAGTAAGGGTGTTTATATTTTTTGCTCCTGTAACATTGAAGTTGAAGTAGTTATGTTGAAATGTGGTACAAACGTGTAGTTCAGCAACCTTTATACAAAATAATAAAAACTTGTAAAAACTTGTGTTAGATGTGCAGCCACTCTGGTTGTACTGTACTTATTTCTGGCAGACAGATGTGATTGGTCTACATGCATATATGTACATTGTGTAATTTTGAAGAGTCTGACACTGTAAGTAAGGGTGAAGCTTACTGAACTGTTTTGTGACCATGTTTTTGTGATAGTGCAAAATATTTTTCAAGATGGATAGCTTGTTAATTGTCATTCTTACTTGAATATATAACAACTTTTAAAAGAAATATAGTCATGTAATTTTGGTTGAATGTCTAAAACATGTACCACTGAGTTTGTGATCTTGAATAATTTTCATTCCTTCAATCAGTTTGCTGTTTACCAAAGTGAAGCTGTCCGTGGCAGGTGGCGATGCGGAAGAGGCTCTAGTCACCTGTAAGCACCTGCTGCAGCTTTGGAAAGACACCTTCGAGCCAACATTGAAAGAGTAAGTACATTTGTGTATTCCTTTCTTTAGATACTGTTAAACAGTTCTACAGGTGCATGTAATAGCATGGCATCAGGACTGTTAAAAGGGACATGCTATGTTACTATTAGTAAGTATATCAGTCAAAAAGTGACATTGTGTAATCCACAGTTATACAGCTCTGAGATGAGACAATGGTGCAGTATCCAATAGCCTGGTGGGTAGGTGTTCACAATTGCATTCAAGGTCATGGGTTCAAATCCCAGCTGTTCACATATTACTGCTTTCTCAGCTTAACATTCAGCTCCTATGAGAAAGAGAATGTTTAATGAGTCAAACATGAACCATTACCAGTCACACAAACTGTACTTTTACTGTTTATTTTAAGAATTCACACATGTTATTGACACTTAACTGTGCATGAAGATAGCTCTTGGGCAGTGCAATTGATAGAATATTTTGTTAGTCAACACAGAAATCCAACTTGTACTTTTGTTTGCGTTATGATCATTTCATAGTGTAAGATACAATTATTGTACTTTGTCTAGTAATACATAAATATCATAATATAAAATATAATTAAAAGTATAATACCATATGGTAGTCACAATATCTCAGAAGTGCTTGCAACAATGGGCCCTACATGTATGTTCTGCCTGGAGGGTTGCAGCACAAATGGTTTTCTTCAATCAATGGAGTCCATTTGAATATGTCAAGAAAATCAACAACTGTTACAATTTATGATAGGTTGTTTCAATATTGACTACCATCACAGGTTAAACATGATTAGCAGGTTCATACTGACTGTAAATGGGTACAGGTTTAATGATGTTAAGTACTTGTATGTGCCACACCGCGTGCCTGCGAAGCTGGTGTGTTACGCCGCAAGGCGGTTATACCGGCTATACAGATACAGATATGTTTGTTTTTTTGTAGGGTTACTGTTAGTCATTAAAAGTCAAATTTTAATCATCGCCTTTTTGTACACAATGCAGCTCCAAATACATTTGTAGAGAACTGACATTTATTCGTAATCCTGTCAAGGATCACTCCTGTTTGTAGAGTGATCACAAGTTACTAATAGGAAATCACAGGGATTACAATTCTATAGTAGTAGGCACAAGTTTGTTTCCACTCCCTTTTTTACATAATTTGGCACTCGTTTTGAACAACTTTTACCTGCATCCTGATCATGATATAAGGTAACATACTATGTTCTGGTATAATATGCCCGTCTCAAGTACACATACGAGTCATAAAACTGCCTGCTTGAAGAGTTTAACAATGCTTTCAGCAATGTCAATGTAGTTTTTGAAATCCCCACATATTGCCAGGTCCCTTGCCTCCTTCGCTTCCTTGAGGGCCTCAGGATATTTTTGTCCCCTGTAACGCATGTGTGCCTGCGCAAGATGGTACAGGACTTCACATATCCCACACAAGGGTTCTCTGTCCTCCAGTGAACGGAGGATCTGACGTGCCTCTGTGATATCTTCTTCAGGGATTTCATCCGTGGTGCCCAGATTTGTGTTGTTTCCATCTGGTAATGCTGAGCACCAACATCTCAGCCGCAGATAGACACCACCAATCCAGGCACACTGGCAAATCCTGGTCTTCTTGTCTTGAAGTTGGCCTGGAAACTCTTCCTCTTCGTCTTCCTGACCAGAGTCGTCGATGGCTCTCCCAAATGACTCTTTGGCATCTTTGATTAGCTCAGCCTGCTTGTGGCGATCCTGCTCTAGTTGTGCCATCTTGGTGTAGAACCAGCCAAGATTGATAAGTATCAGTGCTCTCACGTGTCCCACCTGTTTCATCTGTATGTTGTATAAGGCCATCATTATTACACGAACACCGTGGTCGTATCTGTCCTCCCTTAGATCAATGAGTGACTGGTAGTAGTCTCGAGCAAGTCTGTGCTCACTGCTGTTCTCAGTTTGGTCCAGAAGACCTGTAACATGGCACAAGGCTTTGCCTGCATTTTTCATCTTTCCCCCATTGATAAAGCAGGCAGCTGCAGCAATCCACAGTGTGGCACGGCAGTCTGGATCCCTTGTACACCTTAACAGTCTGTTGATGCTCTCTTTGCACTTCTTTAGCGCACCTCTAGCTGATAGCTGGTCCAGTCGGTCCAGCAACTTTCTACAAAGTTTCTGCTTCTTGGTATGGGTTCTGGCTGTAGGTTGAAGTGGTCTCTCCACATGTACATGTAGATTTTGTATGTTTACCGCCACAGGCACAACTGTACTATTATGTCCTGAGTTGATGATCGTATTGTGGTTTCCTTGTGATTTCACATTGTTTCTAACATGGCAATCTGGCAAATTTCCGCGCTTGATTTGTCTTGTTTTCTTAAGTCTTGTTTTTTGAAGACATATTGGCTTTTTCATCAAATATGTAACAGGCATGTTGGCACAAATGTCAGTGTTGCTATTGTGTCCAGTATTTACTTTCTTGTTGAAATCTCATGACAGTCCAATCTGTCTGTGACATGGCTGGGAGAGCTCTCTGTGGCCTTTGCATTTCCTACAAATTTTATAAAAAAGAATTATTGAAAATACACTCTACATGTTTTTCCAAAGAGAAATCAGAAATTTCATACTTTTGGGTATCCGTGATTGTTTTGGAATTGCACTGGACTGTATAATTGAAATACCTGATTGAACTACATCACACAATGAATTACTACACAACAAGATTGTATAGTGTACACATATTTATATACTAACCAGTATTTTCTGCCCACATTCTACTTTCAATTGGATTAGTTTAAAGTTGTATTTCCTGGTAATTTCTCTTTAAGCCACACCCAACATCTGTTTGAATCTATATGTCCAAAACAGTTGCCAGACTAGTCAAAACTTGTTAGTGCCTAACAAAAGTTATGTGAAGATGTACATAAGTTGCTTACCTGAACTTCACCTGCAATTTCATGTGTAGAAACTTAATCTGTGCAGCCCGTTAACTCTTGCTGTCCAAGGCACCATGGAACCCCTCCCCACAGTGGCCTGACCAGGGGAGGGCTGCTAGTAGCATGATTTTAGTCAGGCTGAACTCTTAAATCACTTGGAGGAAGACTTTGACATGAACAGTAGAGTACCTCTCAGTAGTCCAAGCAGGTGAAAACACGGGTATCCCGTAAATACATGTGCTGTTATTGGTTGGAACCAATTTTAGCGTAGGTGACTCACAAAAAGTCCCAGGTCTGGGTGGGCGGCTTTGTTCGCAAAAAATGTAGAACAGTTTATCTTAAGTCCATTGCCAGGGGTGTATAGATATAGAAAATAGAACATATCCTTTCTCAGAAAACAGTGTGATCTAATTATTCAATTTCAGAACTATATATTGGTGGCATTCATGTTATATTTGGATTCAATTGCAAATTTTATGATTGTTTTATATCGATCAAAATACCTGACCTTACCTGTAAAGCTGTCCACACTTGGTATAATCCTGTGAACTTTGATCCTTATAGGAAGCAGAGCAAAACATTGTAGTATGATTGTCCACGTCGCCTCAGCCTTTGCCCAATTGTACAAACATTACATCATACATGTATGCCGTGGTTTGAAGGCAAGCTCTAATGGCTTCTAAGAAGGCCCTTGAAGATTGAGTCACACTCACAGATTAAGAACTGGACGATCAGGAAACAAAAAAAAGACTGCAAACTAGTTTCACTTCCACCCCCTTACGAATGTATATTACAATCACACCTTACAATGTAATAGTTGTACAACAAATTTTATTGATGAATAATAAGCCAAAGTTTCACTTGTACACGTACATGTATAACCCAATACAATCAGGTATTCAAGAAATTCATTTGATTTTTATGATAATGTAGAGATAATAGCAAGCCTACTTGAATACACCTGTTCCAGTAGTTTTCTAGTAATGTAGTGACAACAGAAACATTCTAAGGACCATGGGTGGATTTACCTGATACATTGTAATCATGATCAATATGACTGACACTCACTGCATTTATCAACACCATTGACTTACAGTGTGACAGTTATACTCTAATAGATAAATCACATTTTCCTTTACTACAGTAATCATGATATTTACACAACCATTGCACACAAAAAAGTAATCATCAAAGTCATCAACAAAATAATTTACACACAGCACTTCTATTTAATGATACATAACTAAGTAATTACATGTACATGACTGTACATTGTAATAAGGCTCTCTTACACTTTCTTTACAAAATGACTTAGTAACAGTTTCTTCAACGTTTGTCATCTCTAGTTTGTGGGCTTACCCACGGAAGTCACTGTAAGTTCTATTTCACCTGTAAGTTTTCAGCTTTCTTCAGAGTCTAAGATCTAAGGTCAAACTTGTTTATCTTAAGTCTAGTCTACAACTCAAAACTTAAAGCTCAATATAGTATGTCACGTATATGTAGGTTGATTGTGTTTATATTATTGTTCAAATGTGCTTTAGGGTGAGTCATACATTTGTATATTTGCTTATAGTATGTGGGACAGGATTGATGGTGTTTGTTTGATGATTAATCATTAAAGGAAACAATTGAAAGTTGACCCTCCTTTAACATCACTCATAGCTACTCCAAATACTAGATCTAGAAATCAATCATGTTTTGTATATCTACATGTACTTACTAATAGTATTGTAAATGTCTATGCTTTGATGTATAAGGCCAGTTACAGACTGTGCTGTATAATGCCCTTAGATTTCATAGGAATTTTTGTCGGAAAAACAAGTCACTCACTTGAAATTCTGAAACACTTTTTGGTTCAAACACCCGACAGATTAATTTTGGACTTAATATTGCACTTTGGACAAATGTTTGTAGCCCTTTACAGCTCATACTTACAAAGTTCATATTTTGTGGAAACCTTCCCTGGCACATAACGGACCATAATGACACCCAGCGGGGGTCGTCACGCGTCATTGAAAATCGAAAAATCTGAAGATGTTTTTAAAAAATCTGAAGATTTTCTGGAAAATCTGAAGATTGTTTCAAAAAATCTGAAGATTATTTTCAAAAGTCTGGGAAAATCTGAAGATTTTTTCAAAGAATCTGAAGATAGTTTCAAAGAATCTGAAGATAGTTTCAAAGAATCTGAAGATCTTTTTGAAAAATCTGAAGATTGTTCTGAGATTGGTTTCAAACATTGTGATCTTGAAACTTATGTTGGAACTTCTTTTGATACTGATTATCATAGCATGTGTGAGTTTTGACTTAGGACAAATTGTATGATCCCCCAAAAAA